AGAGCAGCTGCCAGCAAGAATCATAGTGCAAGAAAAACCATGAAGCCAGACAATGCTTCTACATAGCTCCATCCTTATTTCAGACATTGCGATATATCAGGAACTATTAGCAAAGTCATACAGCAAACTTTGGCACCAGCTTTGTCCTTTTGCCTGCTATCACCACACTTACCATCATCGGCATTTCAGCGTCATCTACCTGCACATTGTTTAAAGCAGGAGCAGTCAAAGGGTAGATCAGCATCTCCTGGGAGAACTTTGGGAGAACTGATGCAGATCGGCAAGGATTTCTGCCTTGTAATGGTTTAAATATAGCAAAAACAAAATGGTTTCCCCTCTTCTTCTTCTTCTTCTTCTTCTTCTTCTTCTTCTTCTTTTCCAAACTGGACTGCTGAAACTAGTAAACCCTGAGAGAAAACCCAGAGAGGATTTTCATCTGAGAGCACAGAGGGAAAGATCTGTGCTTATGATGGCGTTAGGGCACCTTCAATACTGTTTGCGGCTGCAAAAGTTGTTTATTTCCAAACAGTACATGACACATAGTTTCCTACTGAAACCCTGTAACTTTTTATATCACAAATATTCTGGGAGAGAGGGGGTGCTATCCTGCTCCTGTACTGCTATGGTGCAAGAATGCTCCTCCAGATCGCCATGATGCAGTGACATTGCAGAACATCTAATAAAGCGGAATAACGTGGATGGTCCAGTATATATTCACCACTAATACACTATTATTGCACCAATGACATGTTGCATAATACAATTGCAGAAAACAAAACCCACCAGTCTGGAGGGGCCCACAATAGCCTTGACTCTGTACCACAACATGAGATAGGAAAAATTCAATAGCAGTAAATCCCACATTGTCATTATTTAGGCATCATATTTAGGATTCATAGAAGAAAGTCATGATACTCATGGGTTCTTTGTTCATTTTTCCCCTCCCACAAACTATTGTAACTATGTAGATATTAGATGAAGTTTACATATCGCTTGCACATACATGTGCTTCTCACAGCAGTTATGCCAGATCCTTCATTTAATCATTTTTTAAAACTCTATTACATCCTAGCTGGAGAAATTCTCAATTTTGCATTTCCATGGTTGTTGAGATTCCAATGAAGTCAATAGAACGGCAATAGGATTCAGAGAGATGGGCACTGCACTTCCTCTGGGCATCTGGTTGCCTACTGTGAGAACAGGATTCTGGGCTAGATGGGCCTGATCCTTATGTTCATGTGTTCCCCATAGAACAGCCCTGTGCAACTTGAAATATATTTGAAGTACACAGAGAGAACAAAATAGACAGGGCCCCCTCCCAGAGGACTGGAAATCTGGTACAAAACACTCGTGCAATCAGCCTATCCAAGTGGTTCCCTTACCCACACATCTCACAGTGGGGTGGAATTGCACTATGGGGAAGTGGCTCTCACACCATACACAAAAACATAAATCTAATGAAAGGAGTTAAAAAAAATATTACAGGGAAGTACTGTACGCATGTTGCTTAGATTTCATCAAATTGACACTTTGAAGGTTTAGGTTAGGTTAGGAGGACACCAAGTGGCAGAATAGCGTATAATCAAAAAATTAAATCAACCATCCTTCGCAAAATCTCTCCACACTCCACCATTAGAAAACAAGTAAATACCTAAGGGCTGCAAGAGAGGACTTATCAGAGTGGTTGAACTTGATTATAAAAATATAAATAGCACATTAAGTGCCAGCCCTGTATTGCTAAGCCTCTGAATTTAGATGTTAGTCATAACGGAAAAACTACCGTATATCCTGACTTAAAGGATCCTCCTACAATTTTTATGTGAGTAGCTTAGGCTGCAATCCTACAGACACTTGGAGTAAGTCATGTGGACATTTATATTACAGTACGGTTAATTTTGTGGCCTTCATTGTTATTCACAAAACAACAAAGTCTGGATGTATGAGAAAGGAAAGAAAGGAAAAATAGTTTTTATAAACTATGTCTTATCATAATTCTATGGAGAAACATACATGCACATGAGGGCTTTCTGGGTCAGTCCTGAGGAACGGCCGTAGCTCTTTGGTACAGCAACTGATTTGCATGAGGTTCCCAGGTCCAGTTCCTGGCAGGCCTGGGGAAGAGTCCTCTCTCAGACTCTGTAGAGCCTCTTCCAGTCAGTACTGTATAGGCAATACTGTTTCCCTCTAGAAAGTATTTCTTGCTGTTAAAGAATTCTTTTTGCAATTGGAGGATTCTGCTGCATACATTAATCTTTTTGAACAGAAAGCAGCAGGTCTTCAGGGCAAGATGGTGCAAATGGTGAGAAACAACATCAAGACAAAATATTCTATCAGCGAGCACAAAGTAACCAAGTCAGCCCCCACCCTGTGCAAGCAAGATAGATGTATCTAGCAATAGTGCCTCTGGCATGACATCAGTGTCAGCACAGAAGAGCAAGGTGACAAATCAAGTCAGTCTTCATGAAGGCATCTTAAAGTGCAAATCTTCTAAAATGTCCAGGCCTACTTCATCCCAGTCATGGACTAATGGTGCAGTTCTAACCACATCTACTCAGACGTAAGTCCTATTGAATTCAACAGAACTTACTCCCAGGAAAGTAGCTTTAGGATTTCAGCTAACTTATATTACAGTATCTTCAAATCCTTGTTTATAGTTATTTCCTCCCTCCCATTTCCTGATGTAAAATTAACATATATGACTTTTCTATATTTGGATGTAACTGTCAATCTCATTTGGATATTTTTTGGCACAGATGGGCTGCCTATATTAATAGATATGTTTAAAGTAGGGTTGATGTATTATGCTCATTGCTAATGTGAGCCAATGTTGTTTATTTCTATTTGCAATAAAAATAACATATAGTTTTTATTTTTAAAAAACCATTTTTAGATTTAAAAAAGTTTGTTGAAGTTTAGAGACTTTATTTACTTTACTCACATAATCTGTGCTAATTGTTCTGAACATGTTAAACCATTCATATTATGTTGCTAATGCGGGAGGGGGGTCCAAATGGCCCTTCTGTGCGTTTGACGCTAGCACAGGCTGAAACTGGCATCCTACAAAATCCACCCTCTCAGAAATAGTCAGAGCAACACTCTACTTAGGTAATGCTCAGCTGAGGTGAAAGGAGCACCATGTCTTACTAACTTGCATTGGAAGATGTGTGCATGTTGGTATTATGGAGTTGGCAGTGAGAGGATGGACGTAGTTCTATGCCCTCCAGGGTGACAGCCAGCTCTGGTATAGATCTGGACTCTGCTCAGGTAAGAGAGGAGTATTAGATTGTCCAGTGGGTGAATGGGAACTATGACTCCCTAGTGCTTCAGATATTAGGATAGCAATGTATTGCATATGTGTAAGCTTGGCAGTGACCCTTTGTATGTGGGTTGTAATACTGCTTAGTGTGAGTGGTTCATGTATGCATGGTTGATAGAGGTAATGTTTGAGGTTGTGAATAGTTATAGTGGCTGTGTAGAATGGATGGTGAGTGAAATTGGCTGAGTGGATGCATCTATGTTGTGTTTATTGGAATTTTATATTATATTGCCTTGTACTGCTCTCTGACTTTATTGTTTATATACAGTGGTACCTTGGTTTACAAACTTAATCCGTTCCGGAAGTCTGTTCTTAAACCAAAGTGTTCTTAAACCAAGGCGTGCTTTCCCATAGCAGCGGGGGACTCAATTTACAAATGGAACACACTCAACAGGAAGCGGAATATGTTCTGGTTCCAAGGCAAAGTTCACAAACCAGGTTTGCAGCATTCTTAATCCAAGTCTTAATCCAGCGTTCTTAATCCATAAACGAAGCTACAGGTACCACTGTATATTGTTATGTGAATCATTTAACATGGTTTTATTGAAGTGTGTGTGCGCAAGCATGCATATGTATTTATTGTAAACTGCTTTGAGAGCTTTCAGATAGTAAGTGGTCAACATATGGAAATAATAATATTTTAAACATATACAGTGATACCTCGGGTTAGGAACTTACCGTAATTCGTTCTGGAGGTCCGTTCTTAACTTGAAACTGTTCTTAACCTGAAGCACCACTTTAGCTAATGGAGCCTCCCGCTGCCGCCACACCGCCGCCACGCAATTTCTGTTCTCATCCTGAGGTAAAGTTCTTAACCCTAGGTACTATTTCTGGGTTAGCGGAGTCTGTAACCTGAAGCGTCTGTAACCTGAAGCATCTGTAACCCAAGGTACCACTGTATATCCTGCCTTTCCTGCAAGCAGCTCAGGATTGCACACATGGTTTCTCTTTCATCCTTACAACAACCCTGAGAGGTAGATGAGGCTGAGAGAAGGTGGCTAACCCAAGGTCAGCCAGTGAATTCATAGCTGAGTGGAGATTTGAACCCGGACCTCCCAGGCTCTGATCCTTACACTACACATTATGTATTCAGATTTTACTACATACAGCAGACATTTTTCACCATTGCATCTTAAAATAACCTTTGCAAAAAACTAATTTCAGCCAAAGAGTAGGATTTCTGTTAAAGGCCTTACATTTGCTGATGGGAAATCAATTTTACTGTTAAAAAAAAAATCACCCTTGCCTTCTTTTTCCAATTCATTTCCGGGCCCCAGCTCAAGGAATCCTGCATTCCTAAAGTATAATATTCAACAAAGAAACAACAATTCTTAACTGCAGCTGAATACACATACAAACATGGAAATGGAAAGGTACAAGAAGTCAGACCGGGAGTTGATAAGCCTGCAAAGAACTGCAGGGAATTAATTAATGTTTCCAAACTGAAACTTAAGAGTAGTACAAACAACCTTGTTAAACCTGTTGTTGCAAAGTGATCAGGCAGTAGTTAGACTGAAAATGTTTAGGCTAAAAGGCCTGATGAATGAAGAGCACAGGAGCACAGAACCATTTAGGAAGCTGCCTTATACTGAGTCAGACTATTGGTTCATCATGCTCAATATTGTCTATAGTGACCGTCACCGGCTCTCCAGGGTTCCAGGCAAGAGTCTCTCCCAGCCCTACCTGGAGAGGCCAGGGATTTGAACATGGGAACTTCTTCAAGCAAGGCAGATCCTCTACCACTGAGCTATAGCCCCTCCACTTGCTGTAGAGTTCCAAATATGCTGATGAACAGAAAGTATTTAGTACAAAATACCACTGGCTACTAAGAAAGAAAGAAGATATGGCATTCTGTATAGAGATTTAAGAACATAAAAACCATACTGGATCAGATAAAAGGCTCGCTTAGCCCAGCATCCTGTTCTCACGGTGGCCAGCTAGATAACTTGATGGCTAAGGGAAGTTCACAAGCAGGATCTGAGCACAACAGTTTTCTTCTCACTTGATTGCCAGCAACTGGTACACAAATACATTGGTACCTCAGGTTACATACTCTTCTGGTTACATACGCTTCAGGTTACAGACTCCGCCAACCCAGAAATAGTGCTTCAGGTTAAGAACTTTGCTTCAGGATGAGAACAGAAATCGGGCTCCGGTGGCACGGCGGCAGCAGGAGGCCCCATTAGCTAAAGTGCTGCTTCAGGTTAAGTACAGTTTCAGGTTAAGAACAGACCTCCGGAACGAATTAAGTACTTAACCTGAGGTACCACTGTACATGCTTTTGAGACAACCACTGCACATATACAGATGACAGCTTAATGGATAGGAGTTCTAGGGGCACTGCAGGGACAAGGAAACCCGAAAATATAATACACATTAGGTGTAGACATTCCCGCCCCCAATTCTTGTGTGAACAACACTGTTCAAATGTGGCTTCAGATGCAACAAAGAGGGAACAACTTCACTGGGTTTTAAGCCACTAATGTGAACATACAAGAGCCTGCAAGTCTTCCTTTTTCTCTCTGCATCTCTTATCTTATTCTACAACTTCTGTAGAGCTTTCAGCAACTCCACCTCTGCCTGTCCCCACAACAACTCATCTTAAAATACTCTTCACACCATTTTTGAATATGTATACAGCAGAAAGTAGGATCTCTATTACTAGCACCCTCTGGCTCCACACACACAGAGCACGTGCTTGGAAAAGAGCCTACATAGGGCATGTGTGACCTAGAAGCCTGCCTGTTCAAGGGTCCCTGGATCTCTACACATGCACTTTGTACATGTACATTTTCCCAGGTTAAGCTGACTGCACGTTTGATTGATTTACATGACCCAGAAGCTGTACACCAGCTCCCTCAGCCAGTAAAGTGAGATGAGCGCCACAACCCCAGAGTCGGCCACGACTGGACCTAATGGTCAGGGGTCCCTTTACCTTTACCTTACTATATTTGGGGAGCTGGAAGTTGGTGGTTTATTTCTGTTATTTTATTTTTGTTGTGTTATATGATGCTAAACTTCTGCAAGAGCTTAATCTCATTCAGACTCAACAATCCACACGCAGTTCACATTACTTCCATTTGAAAGATACCTTTCTGTCACATTGCAGAGGCTAATGAAAAGAAGAAGACAAACTAGAGTTTTTAATGAAAACTGTGCTACAGTTTGTCCTGCTTGCATCTGTCTGAACAATTAAAAAATTCTTAAGTCATAATTATATCACTATCTTAATTAATCAGATCCTCCTGTTTTGGATCAGGGTATTATCTGCCCTTGATGTTGCCTATATACATCATGCATTGCAGCCTCTGTCTGCTCTAAGTTTTGATTGAAAATGTTTATTGAAGTTAGTTCTGCCGTTCCAGCACAGAGAACATTTCCTTTGATGTTTAGGAGAGACTGTATGGCTGTAACCTCTGCACAAGTGACATTACTATCCCCCATCCTGCAATTATATGCACAGACAGTGGCCTAGGAAGAAAATAGACACCCCTTATTTTGCAGCAGCATCTACAACTTAAACTCCTTAATAGGTATAATGCACATAACTTGCCATTTTGAGTTAATGCCGAATTTTCACTCTGCAGAAAACAGCTGGAGGTTTTTTGCCAATTCCTTCAGATTGGATCAGTGATGCAAAAAACCTCAGCACAATGTAAACTGAAAAGAGAGGTTTAAGAGTGCAGCTACTGTACGCATTAACAGCACAGCATGCCTAAAATAATCCCACAGACCAAAACACACTGCCAACAATGTTTTCATTACTGCTTGGTCTACCCCAACACCTTTGAAACAGATGTGAGCGCAGCCGAGCATCAGGGATTGATTTGTTTTGTCTAAGCTGAACTTGAACACTAGGGGGCAAAGCTGAATTCTACATAATATGTCTGCATGGGGGCATTTTCAGGGGATCTGAGGCACTCATTCAGTTCACCCAGACACTAATTGTCCCATGCACCTTGAGCTCAGCTGCTATTTACTATTCAGCGCTGGCAAGAACAGCACTATCTATGTTATCCAAACAATGGTGTTTAGGCACAGTGTGGTGCAATGCCCTAGAATCCCTTTCCCCCTCCTGGAGGAATACTGCTGTGTTTCTGATTTGGAGCTAAAGCATTCAACAGGAGGTGAGGAGCGTTCCAGCACAGCTGTATGCTATTATTTCTTGTTAGTCAAAGGCAAGATACAGGATCAGCATGCATCTCCTGCACCTAAACTGTACTGTTCAGAAGACTGAAACTGTGATCACATGTTTGAATGCTTCCTCATGTAGTAATAATAATAATGAAATAATGTGCTTAAGAAAGTAGGTCATCATGGAAGCTAGATGTCTCACTAGATTTGTATTTACAGGAGGGGTGGGTGGGTTGTTGGACTAACTCCCATCATCCCTGATTGTTGGCGATGCTGGGTTGGACTGATAGGGAAGTCCAACAACACCTGAGATATATGAACATTCCTAGTTACAGTATGAATTGTTACACTTCCGGAAGAGATATTTATCAGGTGCTTTGTTTCCTGGTGTTTCCCTATGTAAGTTTAAACTGGCTTTCTGTTAACTGGTTTCTAACATGAATGTAAGACCTATATAATAGTCATATTTGTGGAGTTCACATTAAATTTCTGTTGTGAATTCTGTCCATATTCAGACTGGCAGGAAACATGTCTGTACTACTCTAAGCAAAGTACAGGCTTGCATCTTTGCTCAGTCAGTAGAGCACGAGACCCTTAAGCTCAGGGTCGTTCAAGCCCCACAGTGGGCAAAAGATTTCTGCATTGCAGGCAGTTGGACTAGATGACCCTTGTGTTCCATTCCAATTCTACAATTCTATGATCTGTTGTAATTTCTTCATTTTGTCCTAACACTTTACATTATTGAATCAAAGTTATCCAAGGTTTCAACTAACATTTTTGTGCCCAATATATATCCAGCACACAAAGTGATATGTACATCCCTATTCTGAATTCTTTTAGTTCCAGATTTTATTTCTTTTACTATAAACGTTCTACAACATGGTGTACTCCCATTAAAATAACATTGTGACAATGGATAGATCTCATTGTAGCAGGCCAGCCCAATCTCCAAACGGTGTGAGATTCCAGGGGTTTCAGGCACTTACCCAGGGTTTCGTGTTTCCTTTTGGAAATGAGGCGCAGAAGAGACCGTGGTGTCTTTATGATATATGGTTTATATACACATACAAACAACCTGAGCCTATGATGGAGGGGCTCACAGCATTAACATCCAAAGAGGGAGGGCATTGCTTTCCCCATAGCCATAGCCTTGGATACTAATAGAAATCAAACATCCCTCAGGCTTTCTCTGGCTTCCCAGTCTGCAGCTTTTTCTTCTAGCTTCTAGCTTCTAGCTCACATCACTGAACTCTCAGCTATCGCCTTTGTCATTTTAACTACCAGCCAGTTGAGGGAGGGGACCGCATCCATTTGTCATCTAGCCCAGAGCCACTTCCTTTGTTCCCCTTAATGGCCCATTACCTATGCTGTTACCTCACCAGGAAGCTAGCTTGGCTATTCCAGGAATTACAAGGAGACCCAAACATTACAAGGGTCTTGGCATACAGCCCACCCCACTCCCCCACAAACTCATAACATTATATTTAGTCCCTCTTTTACAGCCATCCAAGTTGGTGGATATCACTATAGCTGTCAACTTTTCCCATTTTTTAAGGGAAATTCCCTTATTCCAAATAGGATTCCTCTCAAGAAAAGGGAAAAGTTGACAGCTATGGATATCACTGCATCCAGTGAGAGTGTGTTTCATAGTTTAAATATGTGTTGTGTGACATATATGTATATACAGTCGTACCTCAGCTCCCGAATGATTGAAAACCGGAAATGAGTGTTCAGGTTTGCGAACTATTTTTGGAAGTTGAATATCTGACAGGGCTTCTGCGGCTTCTGATTGGCTGCAGGAGCTTCCTGCAGCCAATCAGAACCTGCACGTTGGTTTCCAAACGTTTTGGAAGTCGAATGGACTTCTGGAACAACTTCTGAGGTACGACTGTATTGTTTTTCAACCCAGGAGATCAAGGCTGTGGACATTTTCCTCTCCTCTCCCTTTTTATATTTGCAACAGCCCTGCGAGGTAGGCCAGGATACGTTACTACATGCACATAAGCACCAGTTATTGTCAACAGATGGGGGCTGGATGAGGATGCAGGGGGCTCAATCCACACTCAGTGCACCGGCCCTTGGAATTCTGTTGGCTTCTCTGCTGCCTTGTCCTTTATACAACAGCAAGATCACAACAACCATTTGAAGAAGCCCTTCCTGACTGCCTCAAAGTTCTCTCATATTCATTTCGTTTCCACAGGAACTAAGCCTGCTAAGATAGAGGTACAGTGGTACCTCGGGTTACAAACACTTTGGGTTACAGACTCTGCTAATCTGGAAGTAGTACCTCGGGTTAAGAACTTTACCTCAGAATGAGAACAGAAATCGCGCGGCGGCGGCAGCAGGAGGCCCCATTAGCTAAAGTGGTACCTCAGGTTAAGAACGGTTTCAGGTTAAGAACGGACCTCCGGTAATCTGGAACACTGCTCCTGTTGAAAGCAGACAGGCAGCTACAATTCTGACATTTTATTGCTTGCCGAGAACAATTTTGCTTTATCAAGCATTTTTAGAAAATGAATTTGATTTGTTGGTCATTTGTTATGTTGTTCTTTTTATCTTACAGTTTTATGATGATTGAATTATTTTATTGTACACCACCATTACTTTTCTTAAGGAGTTGGTGGTT